ATTTGGGTAGAAGAGGTGAAATGTTCAAGGACCACAATACGAGGACAGAAAACAATACTGAAAAACTGCGTTAGAGCACCTTCTGTTTGATAAATCACACGTATAAGGTTGTTGGGTTTTTGACGTTTGGATTTGTCCATCATCTCCCCCTTGCATTACTGTTGTTCATTTTGATGTATCTAACAAAATGTTAATGTGATTGTTTACAAACTGTCCATGTACACTTGTAATGGTATCCTTGGTCATATATGTACATAATAACAACAAAATATAGGGGTTTTAAATAAGGAAACAAAATTGAATTTAATGGGAAAATGTACGAGGTTGGCAGATTGAATACGTGACCAATGCCTTCTCTCTTTTGCCCTCATGTTTGCAGATAATCACATTTTATTTCTTTCCTTTGTTCTCTAAACTCTATGTACGGTTGACTTGTCAGAGTCCTTACTTTAGGGAAAAGAAGCATACCAGGATGCTGAAGAATTACTGGTCTGCAAGGAAACCTGAAATGCCTTCAACCAGTGGAACGGGTTTTCCACATAGCAGAGGAGGTGCAGGTTTGTACATCACACTCTAATATTATATAAAATAATATTGATTAATGAGGAGTGATAACATTTAGAAAGTACCAGAGAGCTTTCAATATTACAGCATGTGAAGAGATATATAAAATGCACAGTCTCATAAAAAGCTAAATCACATTATAATACTGAGGAAAGAAGTACATGTATGTTTTATGGAATTATTTGAAAGAGGCACGACAGTTTATTTCTCTTTTTATAGGCCCAATTAATATATCATTAACGATTAATGCATAAAAAGAAATGATGGTGAGACCTGGAGGCATTATGTTTTCGGGTTGTCCGTACGTCCCGTTCGCGTTTTTTTTCTTCTTCTTTACCATATGTAATTTAATGCGTGAACTTTTGGACAAACATGCATCAGAGCGCACAATCCCCGTTTCTCTTCGACCGTCTGCCCCTTGGTTCAATGATGAAGTTCGAGAGGCGAAACGGCATCGTCGTCGAGCTGAGCGTAAATGGATGAAGTCTCGTCTTGAAATACATAGTCAGCTTTATCGGGATCAGTGCTGCTCTTACAACCAACTTCTGATGCAATCTAAGTCACACTACTTAACATCAACCATAGAACAGTGTGATACTAAGCAGCTTTTTAGATTTGTGAAGAAACTTACTGCACCTGCGTCTGAACATATCCTTCCTGACCATTCATCCGATGTGCAGCTAGCTAATGACTTTGGCCAGTTCTTGCACCAGAAAGTTCAAGGCATCGTCTCTTCCTTAGGTGGTGATTGCAATCTTGCTGACAGCTCGTCTCCCTGCAACTACTCCTTCAATGGATTTGATGTAGTATCCGAGGCAACTGTACAAAGAACTATCAAGGAGAGTCCTTTCAAGTCATGCAGGCTTGATCCGATACCAACAACTCTCCTCAAGGATTCTATTGATGAAGTGGTTCCGTTTATTACCAGGCTTATCAATCAAACATTATGTACTGGTATTGTCCCAAGTGCGTTTAAAACTTCTCATGTATTAACACCGGTGTTGAAAAAGCCTTATTTAGATCATAATAATTTAAAGAATTATCACCCTATAGCTAATCGTATGTTTGTTGCTAAAATCATGAAACGTATTGTAGCTAATCAACTGAAAGCGTATCTTAGTGATAATTGTTTATTTTCTGACATGCAATCAGCTTACCGGCAGTTTCACTCTACAGAGACTGCACTGCTTAAAGTGTACAATGATTTACTATTGGCAGTTGATAAGGGTCAAGAAGTAGCCTTAGTAATGTTAGACTATTCAGCAGCGTTTGACACTATCAATCATCATTCTTTGGTTGAACGCTTCTGCCACACTTTCGGGATTGGTGGCACAGCCTCAAAGTGGTTTACATCATACCTTGAACATAGAGAACAGAGAATTGTAATCAACAAAAGTATATCTAACCATTTCCCTCTTTTGCATGGCGTGCCCCAGGGTTCGGTCCTCGGGCCGCTCGAGATTATTTTATACACGAGTCCGCTCAGCGATGTAATAAATGGACATAGAAACATACACCATGTAACATACGCGGACGATACGCAGTTGTATGTAATCCTTGAACCCCGTCACCGGTCGGTTAGCTTGACAAATCACGAAGAGTGTGTTAGTAATGTCAAATTTTGGGCACAGAAAAACTATCTTAAGCTTAACAGTGACAATTACTTCACACCACATCTCCGTTTCGTAAACCCTTGCCCTTGCCAGATTTTGTTTTAGATGACACAAAATTGTGTACCTCTGAATCGGCCAAAAACATGAGTGTTACCAAAGACACTGCTCTCATATGAAGGCTCACATAAGGCAAGTATGTAAAGCTGCATTTTATGGTATCCACAAAATTTGTAAAATCAGGAATTGTTTAGATAAACCCACTACAAAACGACTGATACATGCATTTGTCACTTCCCACTTAGACTACTGTAATGGCCTCCTTGTTAATTTGCCACCCTCAAACCTTGCTCCTCTTCAACGTATCCAAAATGCTGCCGCTCGTCTGGTTGCCCGCTCCGGACCTTATGAACATATTACTCCAATCCTCCGCAATCTGCACTGGCTGCCAGTAATTCAACGTATCCAATTTAAAATTCTTCTCCTTGCCTTTAAAATCCGTAACGGTGAATTCCCCACGTACCTTTCCAGTCTTGTAAAATCCAAACCCCCTCCTCCAGGTTGCGTGCTTCTACTTCCTCTCACTTTCAACTAATTCCTGGCCCTCGTGTGAAAACAAGATACGGGGATAGAGCGCTTTCTGTAGCTGCCCCCCAGTTGTGGAATGGCCTCCCGTCCTACATTCAAAATGCTCCTTCTACATCCACTTTCAAAGTAATGTTAAAAACCCATCTGTTAAAATACATACCATGAATTTTGTCTTCTCTAAACTTGTCAAATAAATAAATGATGTTGTACTTATATTTGTTATGAAATAAGTCATATTTAGCACAATTTAAGTTAGATTAAGTTGATTTATTCATTTATTTGTAACAAACTGTAATTTTGATTTTGTAACGTAAAATAGCGTAACATACTGTAATTGTGTACTGAAAAATATTGTGTACTTGTGGTGCTGTCGTCCCGGCTTTATTTAGTGCAAGGACATAGCTTTACTTAATGGCTGCTGGGACAACAGCACCACTGCGCCTAGAAACAATGTATTAGGCGCGTTATAAATGTGATCTATTATATGCGTCGCAGAACAATAATAATAATATTCCGTGTTTATATAGCGCTCAATACATCGATCCAACGATGTGCCTAAACGCTTTAACGATATATTATTATCCCGGTCATCGGATTCAGGCTTACCCGGACACAATGCATGCACGTTTTCCTCCACTCCCTGGGGACCATTCTAGCTAGTTGCCATTTTACAAGCGCACACTTGCTCGTCCAACCACGTGAACTTTCGCATCCTACCGGGTACCCATTTAACACCTGGGTGGAGAGTAGCAAGTGCAGGTAAATATCTTGCCAAAGGATATTAGTGCCGTGTCGGGATTCGAACCCTCGACCTTCGCATCTCCAGTCAAGCACCTTAAACCACTCGACCACGACACCCAGAGGTTTTTATATCAACGCCTTGAGAGAGACTGTTTTCTCGCGCTCTGCTCAAAATTAAGCAAACTCTGATCGTGCAGCTCGCTGCTATGTGCATGTGTTGCGCTGTGCGCTAGCTGCAAATACATGTTTCTTGATTTTACTAAAATGGATAGGGCGGCTTTTTTTTAGGGCCTATATTTATTTACACTCAAACTCTTCAGATTACCCAAGGTTGTTTTCAGTTGGTGACTTATCAACCACAATAGTTCATAATATTAGTTCAAAATAAAAATACAAACCTGAGCCCCATTGCATAAAAACTTATACCATTGATGGTAACTTTACCATCAATGACCTTTATTTGGGCTGTTTAGCCCTGTTATCATGGTACCGTAGTTGCCATTAATAGAGTTACAGACTTTTTAGCCATGTTAGCAGAGTTAAGTTTTATGCAACGAAACCCAGGATCCCCTGAACTGGGTAGTTCTTTATTTTTCATAAAATATCCAGGAAAATGACTTGAATATCAGATTCGGAATTTGGAAATATTTTGCCTAGATCGGCAATCCAATGTGACTATGTGAGGGATATGATTATTTTTGATCGCTAACTGCAGCACATAGATCTGGCCTAGATTCCAGGATTAGGATCAGGTTGATTTAGTCTAGGTTTTAAGATTAGGTTTAGGGCTAGGGTGAGGGTTGGGGTAGGATTTAGAAATAGGATTAGGGGTTAGGGAAGTATTTGCTGAAGTTAGCAATCGAAAATAATTTAAACCCCTAAAATTGAACCGGAATAAATCTTTATATGAACACATCATTCAGGGACTCTCGTACATGTACATGAAAAATAGCTTGTAATCACGATATTCTGAGAACATGTTGAATCATTCCACAGGGCTAATCCCCATAGTGCCAAGCCCCAAATCCCACCGTGCCAAGTTTATTTTGAGATAATCTGATTAACGCTATGGTTCTATGAACAGCGCGTGCGAAACACATGTATCATATTACAATGAGCATGAACAATAACTGCTATTACGAATGCGTGCAAGCATGTACAAGGCAGCATGTACGCATGTACACAGCACTTTAACGGTAGCGTGCATGCAGCCTTATGGCAGGCTATGGAATACAATCAAACTTGAATCTTAAAACTTGCTTCTGTTTTGGTTTTAAAAATCGCTTTTTGGCGGAGGCATCATTTTCGAATGTGCGCAGTCGAAGATCCATCTAGTTAGATTCAGTAATTAATGGTACAAGTCTTTTCCTTGTAATAAAGAATGTTATGGTTATTGTTCAATTGTTGTTACTGTACTGCACCTTTATAACATTGCTGATGGGAATACTTATTCAACATGGTTCTCTTGAAAACAGATCAAGTTAGGGAACAAGAAGATGCTCCGCAAGAAGAGGCTCCAAGACAAAAGAAGAAAGTGCGTGCTCTAGGACTGGCTTGCCATTTCCCAGGAGCTGGTACTAACCTTGGTCCACAGCCAGACCCCGGGTTGTTGACAACCAGGATCCAGAGCCACGCTCTGGAGCCCTTGACAGACAAGGTCCAGTTTCAAAGCCTGGAGCTGGGGATGACAAGGATTCAGTTGGAGCAACCACCTATAAAGTATAATATGCTCAAGGCAGGTATGTTCAAATCAGTGAATTGATAAGATGATGTACATGTTAGTCAGTTTGGACAATTCCTATATTCACAAATTATTCATCACACATCAAACAAGCACAGGCAGCTGAAAGTAAAAACAGACAAACCAAAGATATGGCATCTGATGATTTGTATGCCTCCGTTACGAAGTAGCCGGAGGCATTATGTTTTCAGGCTGTCTGTCCGTCCATACTTATTCCGTACGTCTGTCCATAATTCCCGCTCTCGTGATCGCGTTATCTCAACAACTGATTGATGGATTCATGCCAAACTTAGATCATGTATGTATCTTGCAGAGCCAATGAATTGATTAAATTTTAGGGTAAAGATGTCAAAGGTCATGGGGCTCATTATGTATGCAATAATAGCATCTGAGCGCATTATCATTAGAATTGATGGACGGATTACAATCAAACTTAAGACATGTATGTATCTTGCAGAGCCAATGGACTGTGTAGATGTTAGGGTAATGAGGCCAAAGATTAATGGGTCATACATGTATGTGAAAAATAGCTTGTAATCACAATATTCTCAGAACCTGTTAATGGATTACAATCAAACTTGAATTTTAAAACTTGCTTCTATTTTGGTTTGTAAAATGGCTCTATGGCGGAGGCATCATTTTCGACTGCGTGTAGTCGAAGATCCATCTAGTTATATCTGCCAATTGAAGCTCTTTTACAACCGGACATCATACCAATTTTGTTTCACTCATTTTTAATGCAGCTCCAGTTGAGGGTAAAAGAATTCCTGAACATCGGTAAGTAACATAATATGCAATTACTTCTCTTTCTCTCATCTCCCCCACTCTCTTTCTCTCTCCCTCATTCTCATCCTATATGTCCCCACATCTCTCTCTCATCCTGTCCTTCTCTCTTACTCTCTCTCTCCCTCTCATCCACTTTCTCGCTTTCACCCTTTCTCCCTTCATCTCTTTCTATTGCTTTTTTCAACATTTCTTCTACATTTGTTATTGTCTGTTTGGAGCCAGAAGGGCATTACCTGATTATACTTTACCTTCTTCACACTCCCCTATTGTCTTACCTTGATGCTTTTGATTGCATTCGATGAAAGTATGCCATGTTTGCAAGTCATCAGGTTCCCTTTAGATATGAGCTTGCTATGGATGTAAAGTATGCAAAATTAAAATGTTTTCAAATAATGTGGCCTTTAAAACCTCTCTCATTCCTTTTCCAATCCCCGCACTCTCTTTGTTTAAAATGTTTCCAACTCTCAAAAAAATATTATCTCAATGTTATTTGTCTGTTCTCTCTCCATCTCTATCTGTTTCTGTTTGTCTCTCTCCCTCTCTATGTGTCACCCTGCCGTTCTCCCTCTCCCTCTCTCTCTCTCTCTCCCTCTCTTTTTTTGTATCATTAGTATACAAATCCACAGCGATGAAGCTAAAGATGATGGTGATAGAGTTGATGAGAGCCTGGAACAACGTCCAAGAAAACGACGAGCTAAGACGGATCGTCAACCTTCCTCACCTTAGAATCCTTAGGATGAAAAGCAATAGCACTATTGAATAACATCCAGAGCGGAATTTGGCGGTAGCGAGAATTTATCTTACAAGACTTACACACACACTGATGGAATACTTATTTGAATACTAACATTTCCTATTTTGAATCCTTGCCATTCTACCTCAAACAACCGTTACATATAAGTGCAATACTAATTTACTATGCAAACACTTACAAGTACTTAACTGTCAATCAATTATGCAATACAAGTCAGGTGTGTTTGTTTTCTTTTGGCCTATATTTTGATGAATTTGCTGGGACTTTGAAATTGTATAGTTCTTATTATATCTTGCTTTCTTTTGTATTACAATAATGCTGCATTCATCTTAACAGTATTACCTCTCGGAACTATGCAATTTTTACATGTTCTGTATATATTAGTTATATTCTATGCCATTCTTTATTTGTTAATGGATGGACAGATGTTTATATCATCTTAACTGATTATGAAATGTAATGCATAATGTTTAATGTTTGCTTGAGGCCGTGGGCCGATTTACGTTTTTGTTTTTGGGCCAATGCACGAAAATCCTCTGGCAAGACATTAATCTGTATGTGTCTCTTTATAGGTGTAGGAAATGTTTACCCGGTACGAAGAAATCTGAATGTCAAATTTTTGCTAGCCCGGCAAAAGGTGGGGTAATGATAATATTGTACAGCACTTAGAACCATAAACGCTGTATATATACTATAATGTGATACTGTTTTACAGCTAATACATTAAAGCGCTTAGTAATATTTGTATGAAGCGCTCTCTAAATGTTACTACACATTTACTATCGATATTGTAAATACCGTCTTTACAGCTTGTAAAAAAATGCCTGTTCACTTCTATAAACTTAGAGATGAAACATTTCATTCACTTATTCCAAACATTATTAAATTTCCCATTATTTCGATTTTGTATATACCATGATAGTTGCAGGGTTTTATTAGCATTTGATATAGTCTTTTTTGTTGGTGCCCATTGAACATTTAATTTCAAGTGTTGCGCCTTACAAATCATATATATACAATTTCTTTGTGTACAGAGCCTCATTATTTCTTGTATTTGTATTTTTGTGTATTTTCTCGAACTCCGAGCAGAAATTTAGACTTTCTTCTATATATTTATTGTGCGATTGCGAACGATGACCAGTTCAGGTATCAACAGAATATTGATGACAGCTGGTCACACCAGAAGTCTCTGTCTTGGAGTCCCGAATAGGACATTCAAATTGGTTTGCGGCTGCTCATATGATGTCATGTATGTCTTATTTATTAAAACACAAAAGTACATTATTAACACGTGTAATACATCAATAATTTGTTTTCTTCTGTCAATTATGTAAATGAATGGCAAATGTGCGCAACAAATTACTTGAACGTATCCACTGAGCGCTGTGTTATAAGATACGGACAAAGGAAACGTATTGCACATTACGTTATTACTTTAAAAAAAAATGGTTGGAGACATATTTTTTTTATCTAGCTTATCATATACATAATATATATTTATAGTCATCTTTATTTCAGTGGAAGAAAATCAAAAAGTTTATTGAATGTTACACTGGTCATCTGTCAGAAGAAGACAAATAGGCCTACTTCCTCCTCAATTGACAAAAGGCAGGGGAAAAGTTGTTTTCATAATTTTATCAAGCAAGAAATGCCAAGTAAAGTGAGCTGTGATATGTATGAGTTGTTCAAACTAATGCACAAGTAAACTCTAAATGTTCTTTGGCCATATCAGAGGAGTGCATATCATTCGTTAACGGGAAATCGAACCTTGTAGCCAGTTCGTGTAAAACAAAAGAGAAGAATGTGAAAAGCAGATCTGTAAAAGTTTGAAAGAGATCGTACAAACAATAATAAAGTGCTATATGTATCCCAACCGTTGTTAGCTGATTTATAAAGTGTTTAAATTACCAACCAAAAGTATGAAAGTATTTGTTTAATGTTATACATGTATCTTACAAATGTATGTCAATGATTTCCATTAGGCCATGCAGTTTGATACTAGATAGATAAATAGGTAGATAAATACATGTACGCACATACAGTCAAACCTGACAATCAAGATCACCTAAGTGAAACATAAATAGTGGCCTCTCTAGACAGGTTCTACAACAATTTCCTTCTCGAGGGAGACAAAATATATGATCAATATCCATATTTGGCCTTGCAAGAAAGGTTCGGTTGTATATAGATAGATGAGTAGTTAATTGATAACACAATTATATCTACAAATATATGCATCGCAGCAAAGCCGAATTGAGATGAATTTTCAATGACAGAGTGCACACAAATAACCTAATATGGCGTGTGATTCGATATTGTACATGTTACACAAATATAACAATCTTAAAGTAAATTGTAAAACCGGTAGTTGATGTATTCATATAAGAGAAATTGGAAATGTGGTCGGTTTTGATGAGTCAGTCCAATATAATTGTACATGACCATGTTACAAAAATATTACGATCTTAAAATCAATATTAATAGTTGATGTATTCATATAAGAGGAATTGGAAGTGATTGAGTTTGAGGAGTCATGACTATGTTAAAAAAAAGATATCGAAATCCAAAAGCAATGGTCGATATCTTTCTTCATTAATCTGTTATAGCAATTGGAAATGTGATTTTAATGAGTCCGTCCCATAAAAAAAAGCTTGAAGAATATGATGGAGGTATTATTATGTTTCAAGACAAGTTTCACTTGAATGCGCTGTGTACCACTTTGCATTGCATAATTTTGTTTGTTTGTACTTGAGATTATTTATGAAATAAATTCACTCAGTGTCTTTCCATGGATGCCAAACAATCCATACGTGTCACTGTTCTTACTGCATTTTTAAAGTGCCAGGTCATAGGTATTAAGCCTGGAGTTGCGATCAGTCAAACACAAATTGGCAACTCTTTGACGTATCTTGCGAGCTCCCATTTTTTCTCGACATGAATTTCATAAACTTTCATTTTCTTCGTTATTGATGACGAAATTTATTTGTTCATACAGGGCTTTGATAATAACGAATTTGAAATAATGTTATTGACGAAAATTAAATTTGTCTGATTTGTTTTAGTTCATACAGAGCAAATGGGAGGGGAGCTTGCAAGATAGGTCACAGAGTTGCCAATCTGTGTTTGAAAGATCACAACTTAAAAAATACATAACCCTCTTAATTTTAACCACAATTTCCTACACTTTCAATGACCTGTTCCTCTCATTTTTCTGCTTCTATCAAACCAACTTAATATCAGGGTGGACTTTCCCTTTAAGGACAGATGTAATGTGCTATAGCATCATCATGATGATAGTCAAACTAAATTGTTTCTTCAAATATGGAAACCATTATGCAGCATTTAATTCTTTGAAAAGTGCAATGAAAAGAAAGAAATGAAAAAGGGTTAGCTAGAACACGGTCTTTCTTTTATTTGATTGTCTGATTGTTTCTGTTTGTTAGTTTGTTGTTGTTGTCCCTCTTTCCCTTCCCCTTTCTCTTTCTCTGCATGTCTCGCTCTTCCCGTCTTTCTTTCTCTTAACCCTTTCTCTTCCAGGCTCCTCCTGTGCCTTTATCTTTCCATACCTGTCTTTTTTCCCTGACTTTTCACATTTCTCCAGTGCAGGGTGTATTTGTAAATATGGCTGTCGACATTTCAATCGTCTTCTCTCTCCCCCACTATTGCTCTCTCTCTCTCTCTCTCTGTCAAGTTCTCTCTGCTTGCCCCTCTCGTATATGCTCACGCACACACACACACACACACACACACACAAGTTTGTCTCTTTTTCTCTCACTGTCAAGTTCTCTGTGCTCTCTCTTCCTGTCTCTCTCTTTCTCTCTCCCTCTCTCTGTCTGTCTGTCTCTCTCTCTCATTCTTGCCTTTTTTCTTCTCAATTAACATTTAGCTCCAGTGGCCAAAATCAAAAGGTTGAAATCAGCCCCAAATTCTCCAAATAATGTACTGGCAAGCAGGGAAGTCCCCCCCCCCCCCCACCCCCCCCCCCCCCCCCGCTTATCCAGCGGATGGCTGAGTCATTGCGATTTTTTGGGGACCAAACAAAAATTTAAAAAAGTGCTCTTAATGAGACAACCGGAGCAAGTTGGCCCTCGCAGACGCGTACGCAGTGGGTCAACCCCCCCCCCCCCCCCCTCTCAAATTTGTTGTTATGTGTGTGTTTTGGTAATCTTGAGCCACAATGCATGGCCGTACAGAGGATTTCTTTATATTTGGGACTGGGGTAAAATGCAATGAATTATTGATAACTTATTGCATTTTCTTTGTTTTTATTTATTTGTGGGAACTGCCCTCTACCCTTGCCCCCGCTGCGTACAGTCATTGTTCAGTGGCAAAGCAATGGCCTCGTAACTGAGAGGCCCCATGATCAAAACCGTGTCGATGTGCTATATTAGTGCCCTTTTGTGGGGCATTAATCCTCATTACTGTCATTTATGACTTTAGGGCGTAGGTCCCCTAGTCGATAAGCATATTAGCATACACATGCTTTACAAGTCACGCAAAAACAAACACTGGCAAATTATTATTCAATAAAATCTGAGAATATATTATCTAGATCTATTAGGAATGAATCATTGTCAAAATAATTCCATAAATTGAGGTAAAAAAAATGTTCCAACGTTATGAGCGACAGTGTATATACAATGCAAAAACAAGGGTGTTAAATTCAATACCATATTGGTGTTAGTTTTAAAACTTTCCAGGTATTTATATCGAAAAACACCAGCTGGTGTTATTTAACACCAGCTGGTGTTATTTAACACCAGGGTTTGGAATTGAACGATTCATTTCCACTCCTAGTGTTAATATTTGACAACTCCTACTGGTGTAGATTAACACCAATATCTGTAATCATAACACGTTCAATTCCACTTTTGGTGTTTATATTCTAGTTGATCCATTCGAGATTTTTCAATGGGTTTATAATAGTCCCACATTCCATATTCCCTATTATCGACCATTATCGACCAGGGGAGAAGAACCAGTCGTAAACTGATAATTCATAATCGATGTTGGCAACTGTCCACCATCCACCAATAGGTATATTCTATTCTCCATTGCATTAACACTATCACACATATCATTTGAAGTAAATTCAAGATTAACATTTAAGTGAGATATAGGCTGGTACAAAAATAACTTGAAGCTTGTGTTCATGATATCAAGAAATGAATGAGCTCTAATTCCTTGAAATTAAAATCAAGAGAAATCAGAGCTGTTGTTTATCGGTTCTAGAACTCTATTAGACAGGGTCAGCCTTCCCTCTATTAAGATTGGTGATGATGTTATCACTCCATCTAAAGCATGTAGAAATCTTGGAGTTTTATTTGATTCTACAATGTCCATGTCTGTTCAGATCCCGGCTGTTTGTAAATCTGTCAGGTATCAACTACGTAATTTAGGCATTATTCGCAAGTATTTAACCCGCTCGGCCACAGAAAAAATAGTTCATGCCCTCATATCGTCTCGACTGGACTTTGGTAATGCACTTTTGTTTCAGCTGCCACAATCTCAACTCTCACGATTACAAAAATTACAAAATTTAGCAGCCCGTATTGTTACCCTTACCAGACGTACTTCTCACATTACTCCTGTTTTGTCTTCACTACATTGGTTACCTGTTGAATCCCGTATTGTATTTAAATTATTATTGCTTGTTTTTCACTGTATACATGGATCTGCCCCAGAGTACAATATTAATTTGTTAATGCCTAATAATCCTCCCAGACGCTAAAGATCTTCCGCTTCTCAATTGCTTGTTGTTCCCAAAACTAAGAAATCATGGGGGGGGGATCGGCTATTTGCACACGCTGGACCTTACCTATGGAATCAATTGCCACAACATATTC